GAATGAATGAACAAATGAACTAACCGATGAACGAACAAAGGAACGGATGAATGGACAAATGAACAAACAAACAAACAAACCAATGAACGAACGAACGAACCAATGAACGAACCAATGAACCAATGAACGAACGAACGATCCAATGAACGAACCAATGAACGAACGAATGAACGAACCAATGAACGAATGAACGAACGAAACGATGAACGAACGAACAAACGAACCGATGAATGAACAAATGAATGAACGAACAAACGAAATGATGAACGAACGAATGAACAAATGAACGAACCAACCAATGAACGAACGAACGGATGGATGCAACGAATGATCGAACGAATGATCAAAACAATGAACCAACAAATGAACAAACAAACGAATGAACGAGTGAACTCTTTAATCTCTGGTACACACATTCTGAATCTCAGACTTCTGGTCCAGGTTCAGTTCTTTCTGGGAAGGATTTTCCGAAAAAAACTGATCATCAAACCTCCATGTTTGTTTCCCCAGTGGGACGTGTCCATCTTTTCTAGTCTTTTGAACCGTTTCACTTTTGTTTCTGCTTCTGATATTGTTGTGTTTTAGTTTTGGACATCGTAGTTTTGTGGCTGTTGGATGTTCTGAGGTCAGAGTTTATCACAGTTTTACATCAGTTCAAAGTTGAGAGTAAAAATCCAAAACGACAGAATCCCTCTGAGTTTGTCATCGAGTCAGAAAAATCCACTTCTGACACAAGAAACACTCGTTTAAAAGACCGACATGAGGCTTTTTCTCACCTGTGCCTATGAAAGAGAGAAGAGAGAGAAGAGAGAGAGAGAGAAGAGAGAGAAGAGAGAGAGAGAAGAGAGAGAGAGAGAGAGAGAGAGAGAGAGAGAGAAGAGAGATGATTTCTGCTGAAGGACAGAGAGGTTTTTAGTGTTTGGGAAAGTGCAGTTTGAAGCTCCACGGTCCACAGAACCTGAACACAACGCTGACACACACACAACACACACACACACAACACACACACACACACACACACACACACACACACACACACACACACACACACACACACACACACACACACACACACACACACACACACACACACACACACACACACACACACACACACACATACACACACACACACACACACACACACACACACACACACACACACACACACACACACACACACACACACACACACACACACAACACACACACAACACACACACAACACACACAACACAACTTGATTTACACACAACCAGACCGGACAGAAAACCAAACGAACACAGAGAGACCAAGATTTTTTTTTATTTTTAACAGACGTTTATTGTGTCCGTCAAAAACATTGACACTGAACTTCGTCCAAACCTCCACGTGAGATTTACATCAAAACTGACAAAACACACACACACGATTTACTCCAGGGTTGGGCAAACTACGGCCCGGGGACCATATGCGGCCCTTTAATCTTTTTAATCCGGCCCGCTGGACTTGAATAATAATAATAATAATAATGATTTTCAGTGTTTTTAAAGTCATTTCAAT